TTCCCCAGAGGGGTAATTAAACATGTCCTTCTTTTCAACAGATTCTACTTGTCCCAGAAAGGGGACTGGTGGCTTGGCTGAGGTTTCTTGGATTCTCACTTGGATTCTGCCCCACCCCCTCTCTCTCATGCATTTGAGCATGCAAGAAGGGGCAGGAAAGGAGAAAGGGAAAGAGGAAAGAGAAGGAAAAAGAAGAAAAGATGGGAAGAGAGCAAGGAAGGAAAAATAAATAAAGAGGGGAAGGAAGATGTTAGAATGAAGAGGGGAGGAAAAAGAAAAGGAAGGAAGGAAGGAGAGTATAATGAGAGAGGGAGAGTCTGAGGGAAGTCCTGTCTTACCCCTTGGTCACCACAGGAGCCCCCCCTACACAAGTCTCATGTCGCTCCCACCAGGCCACGCCCACATATGGCCACACCCGCCCTAGCCCTCTGAGGTCAAACAAAACCCTGATGCGGCCCTCAATGAAATGGAGTTTGGCACCCCTGATATATAGACACCAACAACATTTTAGCTTGTAGCTTTCCTTCTTCCTTATTTCCTAATTTGAGTCCAAGGAAAGCAAACCAGGGTATCTGAGGGAGGCCCTTCTGTTGCTCCAATTCCAGTGATCTGATGCTGAATCCCCCTCTTTTCTTCCCCAGATACTCTGGAAAGTGGACTTCAACTACAGGAAGGTAAATATGAATTATAGGAATTGCAACTGCTTGCTATTTTAAGCTGTGATGCCAGTAACCTTAAGAGAAACATAGATTAAAAAAAAAGAAAAATATAGGATTAAATACCTTAATATACCTTAGATACCAGGAAACTTTAATGATTGTATGATTTGTGAACTATTCCTTTCCATTAATATGTACAATATAAGCTTATGCAGCAGAGACAAATTCCTTGTGTGACTGATACACACTTGGCCAAATAAAGCTGTTCTTCTATTCTGTTCTTTTCACACACCAGGCCTGCAACTGAAGCTCCTGTTCTTTTCCTTCCTTCCTTCCTCCCCTTTCCCCTTACAGTGAATGTAACTCTGGATCCAGACACAGCTGATCCTGACTGCCTTAAGATCTCCAAAGATCAAAAAAGTATCACAGGAGTTACGGGATGGTCCCATAAATCTTCTGTCCTTGGCTGTCAGATGTTCTCATCAGGGAGACATTTCTGGGATGTTATTGTAGGTGGTACAAGAGGATGGAATGTAGGGGTTACCACCAAGCCAGTGAACTTTAAAAATGTTCTTGTGGAGACCAGGGAGTGGCAGGTTTCGGAATGCGGTGGGGACTACATGGCCCTCTCTCCGTCAAAATGCTGTACACTGGTCCTGTCTGAGAGGCCCACGAGAATTCGCATCTTTCTCAACTGCGAAGGGGGACAAGTGAGCTTCTTTGATGCCAAGACCGCAGCTCTGCTCCATACATTCTCAGACGCTTCCTTGGTTGGAGAGACCCTCCTGCCCTATTTCTACTTGGGAGCGGGTCCCTGCATGACACTCCTCTAACAGGTTAGGTGGCCTTGTAAATTGAAGGAGTGGATCAATTAGTTGATCTAGAGAGAAATAACCTGACCATCATTTAAATGTCTCTGAATTTAAAAAAAAAAAGAGGTGTCTTAGAAACTTTATAGGCTTTAGCATCATGTCTTGAGGTGTATGAATATTAAAAAATACCTTATCTTACAGCTAAACCCATAAATCGTTGTTTTAGATGTCCATCATAGCTCTCTCATTTATGTATCAGGCTTGTTTGTTTAATGTTTAGTTGCCATCAATGATTGTGGAAGTTCCCATTAACTCAGTGTATTCTGTAATTTTTCCCTCCTTTTTTCTTTCCTCCCCTGTTTTTTCTGTTTCCTTTTAAATATGCATATAATTGTCATCATCCCAACAAACCCTAGCAGGGCTTCAGCAGCTATTAGACTCAATATAAGCTTACAGGGGTGTTTTTTTTTACAAATCCTACTGCTACTTCTGTCTTTTTATACTTCACTCACTCAGTTATCTACAACAGTCGGATTATTGATTATAAGACTGATCTAATTTTATAGGTGCTTCATGGATTTTAATTCCTCCCTTTGCAATTTTACATACAGAAATTTATTTTTTCCTTATGTTATTCTGCCAATATGAGTTTTTATTTCGGTTTTAGGGTGATGTCATTAGTTTTAAGATGTGTGAAAAAAATATCAGTGGATTGTTCAGTGTAACAACTGAAGACGGACAAGCTGCTGCTGCCAAAGGAGCAAGTGAGGAATCCAAACATACCGAATACAGGTGGTCCTCGGCCTACAACCACAATAGAGCCCCCAATTTCTGTTGCTGAATGAGACAGTTGTTAAGTGAGCTTTGTCCCATTTTACGACCTTTCTTGCCCCTGTTGTTCAGTGAATCACTTTAGTTGTTAAGCTAGTCACATGGTTGCTAAGTGAATCTGGCTTCCCCATTGACTTTGCTTGTCAGGAGGTCACAAAAGGGGATCACCTGACTCGGGGACACGGCAACCGTCATAAATTAGAACCAATGGCCAAACACTGGAAAGTTGATCATGTAATCATGGGGATGCTGCCATGGCCATAAGCAGGGGGGGCTGCTGGGGGCTCACGGGGGCTTGGGAGGGCCCCTTGCTAAGATTCTGCAGAGAACCCTCAAATCCCGTTCCTGCCTGCCCCGCCCACCCCGCCCCTCCCAGGAGTCCCCATGCAGCCCGTTTCGATGCCAGGTAAGTGCAGGCTGTGCGCGGAGGCTCCGGGAGGCTTAAAAATGGGCCTCCCGGAAGTTCGGGAAGGCCAGAAATGGGCCCATTTCCGGCTTCCAGGGAGCCTCCAGAGCCCGGGGAGCACAAACACCCCCACCAACTGTGGTGCAGGAGGCTGACTAGGCTACACCCACCATGGCCACACCCACCCAGCAACCTGGCAGAGCGGTGGTCGCCAACTGGTGGGCCCGGAGAAAATTTTGGTGGTCCAAAGAGAAATGTTCCCCCCAAGTACTCCCCCCAAAAGCAATCCAGGCTGCTCCAGAACACAAGGCTGTGCCACCCACATGACCTGCCCACCCACCGGCCCCCACCCTTCGACCGAGCGCAAACCTTACCTTGAGTAGAGCCACGCGAGCTGGAACTGTAAGTTAAGACCAACGGTGCGGGAGGGAAATCCGCCCCGGGGTGGATTGCTGACGTTGGTGGAAAAAATCAGTCCCGTATTCCAGAGCTGCAGTAGTCACAGGACTGGCCCTTTGGTCATCCTGGAGCAGCTCCTCCAGTCCATGGCAGGCCGGTGCACCCGGGTGGAGGAGCAGCTGCTCTGGGATGACCAAAGCACCGGTCTTGTGACTACTGCAGCTCTGGAATATGGGACCGACTTTCCCACCAACGTCAGCAAGCCACTGTCTGTCAAAATGCATATTAGTGGTCCATGGGATTTAAGATTATGAGTTTGTTGGTCCATTGAGGTCCAAAAGATTGGCAACCTCTGGGGCAGAGAACCCCTTGCTAAAAATTTTGAAGCCGACCCCTGGTCATAAGTATGAAAATTTGTCATAGGGCACTTTTAATGTGTATATCTATCGTGGGATTCAATTTTTTTTTACTACCAGTTCTGTGGGCATGGCAGGGGAAGGTTACTGCAAAATCCCCATTCCCTCCCCACCCCACTAACCTGCTTTCCAGCTCCGTTCTCCTGTGCAGGGCAACCAAAGAAGACCCAGCCGATCAGCTGGGACTCAGGAGGCAGAGAATAGATGGAGGCAGGGCCAGTCAGAGGTGGTATTTTCTCGTTCTCCAAACTACTGTGTGGGGAGGGTTTCCTCTTTCAAATTCTTGGGAGTGCTTATTAGTCAAGACCTCACCTGGAAAAAGAACACCTCCCTGGTGGTTGCGAAGGCCCAACAGAGACTTCATTTCCTTAGTGTCTTTGGAAAAAATAAGTCCATGATAGAAAGTGTCCTCGCATGCTGTGTAACAG